GCTGTAAGAGCGTCTTCAACCCAAAGGGAGTGTGGGGCATGGACGGTGGTGAGTAGGTGCGAATGATGGTAGCGATATGGCGGTGCTTGCGTTTGGCAAGACCGTTTTGTTGGGGAGTGTGAGGGCAAGAGAACCGTTGTTGAATTCCCAACTGTTGACAAAATTGAGTAAATGAGGTGTTGACATATTCTGTGCCATTGTCACTTTGAAGAAATTTGATGGTGGAGTTAAAGATATTACGGATGAGAGAAACGAAAGACTGAAAGTGCGCAAATACTTCATTTTTACGGTGCATGGGGTATATCCAAGTGTATCGGGAATATTCATCAGTAAATAGAACGTAGTACCTAAAACCAGTTTTAGAGACAACATGGGACATCCAAACATCAGAGTGAATAATAGAGAAGGGAATAGTAGCATGATTTTCATTGATGGGAAAAGGTAATTGAGTAGATTTTCCAAGAGCACAAGGCTTACAAAAATCCTTATTAAATTTAAAACCTAAGGACGATGAAAGACGAGACAATACAGCGGAGGACGGGTGACCAAGACGACGATGCCAAGCAAAGGAATGAATGGAAGTGAGGGCACACTTGGCAGAGAAAGGAGCGGAGGGAAGTGAAAAAGGGTAGAGACCATCCTTACATGGGCCCTGAAAAAGAAGATTACCAGTATGTAAGTCATAAATTTGGAAGAAATCAGGAGTAAACATGAATGAGACAGCATTATCATGAGTAAAACGAGCAACAGAAAGGAGGTTAGTGCGTAAAGAAGGAACATGATAAACATTATGAAGAGAATGACACGAAGAGCCTAAAGAAATAGGAATTGTACCAGTGGATGAAATGTTTAAAGAGTCACCATTACCCAAGTAGATGGAATCATTACCCATGTAGGATTGTGGATTCTGAAGATGAGTGGCAGTACCGGTCATATGATGGGTGGCACCGGTGTCAAGGTTCCAAGTGTTGTTAGTGGGTTGTAGGAATTGAGCACCAGCAAAGGGTGGGAAAGACTCAGGTCCACGAAATTTGTGAGGACAGGTGGCATGAGAATGTTGAGCGGTGTTGCAGGTAGGGCACCATGGTGGGCCAAGGATGCCAGGAGCTGAAGAGCGTTGACTGCTGTTGTTAGACCAAGAGGATGGGGGCTGTGGATGAGGCCCAGGTTGCCACGGCGAGAAAGTAGGCCATTGAGGTGAGGAATTGGATTGTTGGAATGGCTGCCAGCTACGGGAGGAACCAAAAGGACCATTATGATGCAACGAAGGAGACTGATGTTGTGACTGGTTCCAGCCACGGCCGTGACTACCACGGTTGCCACGACCACATCCACGAGAACTGCCGCGGTTGACAGAGCCCCCACGATGTGAGTAATAGGTGGGAGGCTGGACGGCCAAGAGAGCTGTGGATTGACCGGATTGGACAAGGTCATTGCGAGGATTCTGCGCTTCATATGAAAGCAAACGGGCACGCAGATTAGCAAAATCAGGAAGAGGAGGAAAATTTAAGAGAGCGGTGACAAGCATTTTGTAGTCGGGACCCAAGCCACGAAGAATGCCAGTGACGAGGTTCTTATTGGAGACCGGTTCATTAATCGCATCCAGGGAATCAGCAATGGATTTGGCATGACGGAGGTACTCATCCACGGTTTGGGTGCCCTTCTGTAAGTCCATGAGTTGAAATATAAGGATGGATTCACTGGCCACTGAGGTTTGAGAGAAGTGTCGTTGTAGGCAATCCCAAATGTTTTTGGATAAGTCACAGCCAATGGTGAGAGATAAGACTGACTCAGAGAGAGTGCTGGTTAGATAGCTGACAATGAGTTGGTCTTGTTGGAACCAGGTTTCATACGCGGGATTTGGTTGTGGTGCTGTTTGGCCAGGGGAGGATGCTAGTAGAGGAAGCAAAGGAGAGGGTTGAGGGGAGGAGCCATCAACATATTTCCATAAGCCATGGCCAATAAGAAAATGTTTAATTTGACGGAGCCATAGAAGGTAATTTGTGTCTGTGAGTTTGATAAAGTATGAAGAGTTTGGACCAGGAAGAGAGGTTGAAGAAGATTGAGAGGCCATGAGAGGGTTTGGGTAGGAGGAATAGGGAAAAGAGAGAAAGGGATCGGGTTTAGGCTGATACCATGTAGAATATTTGAATCTTATGTTTCATATGTGGGAAAGGTTACAATATTTATATTTGTACAACGGAGATATAAATGGTAATAGCCTTAAATGATAGTAAATACAGAATATTTGCACAGCAGGTCAATGGTTAGGAGTGAGAAGAATCAGATCCTGATTCTTCTCCCTTGATGAGTGCATTTGCGTTGACAATCTCCACGTCTTCTTTCAATTATTTCTGACTTCGTGCTCATCTCCTTCATCTCCTTCAGCTCTTCCTTTTCGTCTGTTACAAATACTTTTCCAATAGTCAACTTCTCAAATTGCTCTATGGTTTGATCAAAAGGACAACAATTTAACTCTGAGTAGCTCAAAAGCCAGTTGAAATTTTACTTATGAAAACATATATTAAGGGTAACTTCAACCGAAAGGCACATAAACTGTAAACCATTTATTCACTTGAAAAATCAAGATCAATGACAGTAACAAAATACACAGAAAATATTCGATTTAATTCAAGGATTATTATTATTACAGACCCTACCTAAAAACAACTAGGGTAGAACTTCAAAATGACAACACAACATTAAGTTTCAAAAAGTACAGAACTTGAGATGGGAGCAAATGGGTGGAATGGTTGTACCAAGAGGTTTGGTGATGCTGGTAGTGTTAATGGTGTGTTTGGCAACAAGTGTTCTAGCTGATGCTGATGCTGATGATAATGATGACATAATAAGTGACTTCCCAGTTTTAGCTCCTGCACCATCTCCTGATCAGGCTCCTATGAGTCCGATAAATAAGAAAGTTTATGCTTGCGGGAATGGTGTGTGAACAGATGCATGAAGGAATCATCAGAGTACCGCTAGTCTACTCAAAATGCACAACTACATGTATGGAGCCCTGCATTAGAACTCTAGTGGATGGTGTCTACAGTTGTACATTTGGTTGTACAAAGTCCTTGAGCACCCAGTTTGCAACTGGTAAACTTCCCTAGGCCTCTTTCTCTAGACATCTTTCAAAATTTCTCTGTCTTCTATGATAAAAAGTTTTCTCAACTCTAGTTCAATTGAGTTCCCTTTGATATAAGTAAAAGAAGATAGAATATTTGCTTAGTTGCAAGGGTAATGACAGACTCAACTAGTCACTAAATGGACTGGTTTGGTTATGCTACTATTTTGAGCCCTGCTCTGAACTAGTCCGTACCGTTATGTTACAATGATTCAGTTTACGGTTTGAGTCCTAAACGAAACCAAACCAGATCGCGCCCACCCTTGCAAGTTACATAAGGATTGTATTCATGTGTGAAATAACATATAACAATAATGACTTTATACATGTGAACCTCACTGAGATTCCTTACACAAATAGGAAAATGTATATCATGGAATTGATATAAATGTAATTATCCACAATATGGAAAGATGCAGGAACCCATAATCAAAAGTGTACGATCTTAGCTAGACGTAAAATTGATTCGAATTTAATCATTGGTATTCTTTATGTGACAGGTATGGCTCAAGTGGAAAGCTACTTTGGAGCCTGCTACAACAGCTGCAAGAATCATTAACAGTAGATATTTTACGTACTGAAACGAAAGGTTCTATATATGTGTGTGTGTCTTTGCAATAAAACAAGGTGTACAAGATATTTTGTTTCCTTGAATGCTTTAAAAACTACCCACAGTTCTCATCGACTGTATACAAGGATGAGAATTATATGTATGATTGAAAAATCGACAGAACGATTTTATTTATACTAGATTGTTATTGTGTGTTATATGTCAATGAGATGTAATGTCTTGTCCATAGTTCCTGCAAATGTAATTAGCTTCAGAAAGTCTGAATGTGGAGCATACAGCCCTTTTAGGACTTTCAATCTCAAGGCCCTAGAGTTCCAATTTCTAAATAATCCTGCACCCTTGCTTGCTTTGCTACCTTCCTCACCATTTTTACCCACCATAACTCAGCTATAGCATATTGGATTTTACCACAAGATAATAGGAAATTTAGAACAGGAAACAAGGTAAGCTCTGGGATAGCAAAGGCCCTGCTGGAGATAGTGATCCTAGCTTGCTCCCCTGTATTTTTACTCATTATTTGACATATCGAACCGTTTTTTGTTTGACCACCTCCATAGCTTAGGCATTAGGCAACCCCAAATTATTATTAGGATCTTTAAAGACCATCTTCAAAAAAGAATTAAGAAGTCAAAGTAGGAAGTTTTAAGGCTGAAATAGATGCTGGATTTGTAAAGGGTTTTGCTTTTACCATGATGCCACACAATATAAATCTAGGATTTTCACCATTTCCTTGCAGCAGTATGGTGAAATACCATGTTTAACCAGAGCCATTTAATAAAATCAAGGATTAGTATGAGCTACTTCTTTCATTGGTAATCTTCAAAGAGTTCTTTCATCATTCGAATAACATTTAATTCACAAAGTCACTACAAAAGAATGCAGGGGCAACATTTAATTGATGAAGTTATATATTTTACATTAATATCAAGATTCAAGTAGGAGGAACTGTTTTCTCTTTTATGTACCTTCTTTAGCAGATTGAGCCCATTTTATGGTTGACCTAGCCAATGCATCCATAGGGTCAATGCATTTCTTAACAAGAGGATCATCCGGGGGAAGAAGATCCCGCATATCATCGGAGGCAAGAATTACAGTGTTGGCAGCCCTCACTAGAAGAACCTGGACTGCAATCCTCAAGAGATTCTGTGCCCCTTCTATGTCCTTTCTGTTTAAGGCTTCAATAGCAGGGATTACAGTGTGTTCCATGGTTGCTTTATCTGGCAGAACAACCTCAAAACCCTGCATTTAATGAGTGGTTAAATGAATACCATAACATGATGTAGCAATAAAAAAATGTACACTTCTAATCAGTCTCAGTTATAACCATCTTGCACAATTTAGTGCACTCAGAAAAATGGCCATCTTTAGCAGGCACAGGCAAGAACAGGATGCTATTTGGAATTTCAGTGTATTCATTTCAACCAAAATTTTCAGCAAAATGACACAAAGTCTTAATGTAAACCTAAATTACCCTAATTAATCAAAAGAATGGGGTGTGTTTTCACCAAAGAAAAAAAGAAAGAATGGCCAAGAATGGTGTGTGTGTGTGTGTGTGAACTTTCTAAAATCCTATTAAGAAAACTAGTAAGCTCATCTCTCTTGTGATGTAACCTAAATTACATTGGGTATCCAATTCCCTCAAAACCATGATCTTGGTATTTCTTCTGCAGCAGTATCATTTGACATGTCTGCATAAAACATCTGTTTTCTTCCTGGGGAATTGGTCATCTGTTATAAACAGATTGACCATTTCCAGGACCATGTCCCAACTATACAATAATGGACAATCTGAAAGAAAATATGCAGAATCGAATTACCTCATTCCGCAGTTTCTCTTGATAGAATCCTGCTTTCAAAGTTGCATAGGTTGCAATCACTCCAATCTGCAAAGGACTCCCAGCTTCAAGTGGCTTCAACTTTGCTTCCTTGAGTTCCTTGGCAACACACTCACCCATGTGAAGGAAAGGAACAGAACATCCCTCTGAAATTTGATCATGCCAAGAATGTGAAATATGACAAGGCATTACGATGCAACGAGATCCCGAATTTTCAAGATAAATCCTCTTACTCCTCAAATTCTCCACAATCAGAGTAGGATCCAATTCTGTACCTTCATTTTTACTGATAACAGAAGGAAAAGAAGGTCTCTCAATCGATAACAGCTCCTTATTCAACGCAGGATCAGAGCAAAGAACAAAAGGAGGACAACTTTCTCCATCTCTTGAACTCCAGTTGATAAGGTTTCTCAAAAAATTAAGAGTAGAATTAACAGATAACCCTCCTATTATACCAACTGTATTTGAACCAGAACCCTTCTTATACTCTTGAAACTTTCCACTTCCATCCGTGTGTAAGAGCACTGGGGATGGACTTAAAGCTAGACCAACATTCAACCTTGTCCTATACAGGGTTCTACGTGTATTCACAAAGCCCAATTTGCAGAAAGGATATTTCCAAATGCACAAAGACATTGCTTCCATCAAACAATCCACACCAAAAAGTCCAAAATCACTGCTAAAAGCTTATAATTCTATATACATTTCAAACTTCACCAAAAAAAAGAAGAATCTGGTTTTAGAATTATGCAGTAAATGCCATCATTGAATTGTAGCGTACTTACTCCCAAGGAAACTACCAAGTCTAAATAAGCAAATCCATGGACTCTCTCCCTTTCTATTTCTTAAACTGAGAAAAGCAAAACCCAACTCTAAAACCCCAAAAATCTCTGTATTTCTCTCTATGAGGATAGCTACAAAGAAGAACAAAAGACCAAGGTACATGTTTTCCAGGGTTTGGGGGTTGTTATCACTAAATGGACCTATTTGCTTTGGGGGCCCCACAAGAAAGACATAATTCATCAATGGAACAAATGGGACAAATGTTTGTGCGTCTAACAGTATCAAAGTTGGCATTACATCATGTTCAGCACTTAAACAAATGAAGCCTTGTTTGTCCCTAAACCAATGGAAAGCCACTGATTTTGTAACGAATAATATGATTTTAATGTATTCAGACAACACGTGTCGGCGTTAGGTGTGCGGCTGCGCATGTTTTGCAACTTGATCCTGGGGCTGGGGGTCCATTTCATCATCTCAAGTATGAAAGTCTTCTTCTCCGTCTTTCAGTTTGTGATTGTGAGAAATTGATTTTTTTTAACTTCAGTAATGCAGTAATTAAAATAACCCTACTCTGAGATTCTTTCACTTTGGTGAAAAAATATATTGAGAGGTGGGTCCTATTAATGTAGACGAAATTTATGTAGAACAAAGAGTGGTGAATTTATAACACTTTTTTATGTGGAAGATAAAATTAGAATGGATTAAAATTCTATCAATGTTATCATACTTCTTCTTAGACTATATTAATATAATTTGGTGACGGAAATGTTTTCTTGTTATTGTAATTAGAAATAATATGATTTAACGTGCTTCTGAAAAGGCTAAAATCCTTTTCCATACTAAAATGGGAATCCATGTATAACTAGGAGATTAGATGGCCCCACCCATCTCTAATCACCTGATTCCCTATAAATAAGAGGTTAATGAGGAAGGGAAAAACGCTTTCACAATTCCCTCAAATATTTCTCTCTTTTATATTCTTTACTATTTATAACAACAATATTAAAGGTTTCTAAGCAAAATAAAAAATTAAATTAAATTGTTAGCGTTTCTTCCTTCGTTGCTCTGCTCTCTGCGTCTCTTCTTCTCCTCTTCTCTTCCTACAATCGCGCCGCTGCTGCAACATGGCCAGACCTGCTGCTGGCGGCTCGAGCAGATGCATGGAGGAAGATGATACGAGTCCTAAACGAAGGATAATTGGCCCTTCGTTGCCATCAGCTGAGTTACCTGCTGCTGCAGCCAAATTGACAGAAGCACAGGCTGAGCTCAGAGAAGCTGTGTTGGAAGAAGAAGATAGTAAACTTTTTATAGGACCTCCACCACTTGCCGTGGTTGCAGAAACTGAATCAGCTAATGAAGCTGAGCGGTTTGAAGAGGTTACAAGGATCATGGATTCTGCTGACGATAGTTTATATGATATCTTAGGAGCCAACCAAAATATGTCAGCTGAGAATATAAAGAAAAGGTACTGGAAGATGTCTCTTTTGGTGCACCCTGATAAATGCTCGCATCCTCGAGCTCAACAAGCATTTGTTAAGTTGAACAAAGCTTTCAAAGAATTACAAGATCCAGATAAGAGAAAAGTGCTGGATGACAAAATTCAACTCAAGGAGGAACGTGAAAAATTTAGGGTTGAGTTGAAGGCAATGCGCGAGGCTGCACAGTGGAGAAAGTTACAAGGAATATGCATGGAGGGAGATGCTGAGCTCCTAGCAGACATGATGGATGTTAAGGTGGCACCAAAAATAGATGAGTGGATGACAACGCTGCCATCCGAAAGGAAACACGGTATGCCTCCTAGGCGATCGACAAGATTTAACAGTAGTAATGAGGCTGCAGCCTTTGCTTCAAATGCGGAGGAAAAGAAAAGGAAGGTTTCAGATGGAGATTTGGTGGACAAATACAATAAAGAAAAACGATCAAAATCACTTTTGCAAAAACACAAGGAAGAGACTGCAAAGCGTTCAATGAGAAAATCCAAGAAACAACAGACAGAGGAGGAGGACTGGGTGGGGAAACATCCGTGGAAGCCTTGGGATCGTGAGAAGGATTTGGAAGGGGGGAGACAGAGTAAAATTGGATTCAGAAAACATGAATCAAGCTTTAACGTCGCGGTTTTCTTCCGGCTCATACGAGAGGAACTTCCTTTAAACATGAACTGATGAGGGTTCGGGTTGGCATGCATGATTGTAGTCTTGTAATTTTTCTTTTTTTGTAAATAAGTTAGAAGAAAATTAATAAAATCTGTTTACACAAAATAATAATAATAACATCGTTGAACTTTATTTTCTGTTCTTTTTATGTTTTGTTTCAATCACTTAAACTAATTGCTTGAGAAAAATTGGATACTTGCAAGTTGCAACTTGAAATGAACTTCATTATTTCATTTGGACAAAGTCGCACCTAACCACTGCTTTCTGGTTTCCCCACATATGAAACCAGACAATATTATCAACAAGAAAAAGATTATTGGTTCTTTAATCAGTAAGGTCAACAGTGGTTGCCAAATGCTTTTGCAAAGTCTATACTTAATGCCATGTGCATATGATTGCCTCTAAACCCCACCATGTGATTAATCTTGCTTATATAGTAAGAGATAGCAGCATCTGGTCCACAGTCACCATATATAGCAAGACATAGCAGCATCTGGTCAAAATTGCTTTCTGAATGCAATAGAAACAACAAATATGTTCCTTTCTTTATACTTAAAGTAGAGAAAGATAAAGACTTATTTACATCAAGTAGTCCTTTTCATGAAAAACAAAAAGGAAGGATACAACTGAAAGAAGATTTTTTTTAAAAAATCTGAATTTCGAAGGCAGGCTTAAAACAGTTTTGCTTTTACATTCCGCGGACGTTTGCAACTACGAATTATCCTCCTTACATCCTTTGTTATAGACAAGAAGGCAGAAAACAGGGCAATTGACATTGCAGGGTAGATATACACATGAGTTGTGCTAGTTGATTTTCTCAAAATGATCTCCCTAACTAAGCCCCATACGATCAGAAGCATACCGCAAAGGCTCATTCTCCCTGGTTTAATAAGACCTAGAAGTGCTCCTGCCACTGATAAGTAGCTTCCAGCAAGAACCTGGTGCAGGCCATAGTGAGAAAAACTAGATTTCCTTTTTTTTCTCTTCATTCAAAATGCTCCATTACTGCATTATTCCTTATCAGGTATGATAGGAGAAAAAGTTACCAAAGAGCTGTAAATTCTCGTCTTGTTGCATTTTTATCAGTATTTGGAAGAAGAACCTACGGTTTAATTATCACAATATATATAATATAAGACACATAAACCCCACTTAGTTCACCTTATTAAAACTAAAATACAATAAAGTTTTGGTAGATATAACACAGGATATTGAGTGAGATTGTTATGGATATACTAACCTCTAGGCGCTGGAGCTCAGAGATTGCATCAGCTGCCTTCACATTGGTGAACTTATACAATTTCAAGCTATCATAGCTTGGGATTGATCTGTTTTTTATCAATGCATTTGCAAAGGCCCCAGGGTAAAGTAGGGCCTTCACTACAACTAAAGGGAAAAGTTCACACGCAATTAACTGTGAGGATGTTACCTCTATTGGTGTTCTGCATATTCCAGCTGTGCAGGGGACCCTGTGGAGCAAAGAGAACAATATGTTTCACCGTTGAAAATATATTGGATGCCTAACATGATTGTTTGTTTCCTTTTGTTAGTTGTTGGATGGAAGCATATTTTCATATCAAGAAGAGGATGAATGACGATAAGCAGGAAGGATTTAGTGGCATAAGTACTAAAGCCACCAAAATAAATCCCAAGATATTTTTTTTTAATATATACAAGTAATATTCTACTTTAAACTAATCTAAACTACGGGGAGGGGGATTCGAACTCGGGTACAGAGTGGGGAGCACGTCCACTTTAGCCAATTTGGCTAAGCCCATGTCTGCAATAAATCCCAAGATTTCGGATACCAAATGAGGTGGTATTGTTCCCATTTTAACCTGTTTACTTTAGCAATTAAAACACTAACATATTAACTACCACATCAATTAACGATTACAATTTAAATAAAAAAAAGAAAAAATCAATGCTTCTTGTATTACTATTTTTGAAATGGATACCACTTCAGGAAATTGGAAAAAAAAAAGTTGTGCTAGTTATGATTTCTTTATGATCATTTTGCAGTAGGTAGTTTGCCATTTGTGCAAATGTAACCCAAAGAAATATCTGAATGAGTAGAAATTTCACAAATGAAAATAAAGCAGTTTCATAATGGATTTGTATATGACTTAATACATCTGTTGTTGCATATAATATCCAACCCATTAAAACTAGGGCAAATGAGAAGAGAACCCATATTCATTGTAACAAGCAAACTAGGTAGCAAGTAAAATTTTCTAACATATGAACTCAATTTATTCCAATTTAAACATGTTCTGCAACAAAATGTAGGAAGAATTTGTCATTAAAGCCCAGGCACTTGAATGTGTTTCTCTCTTAGGCATTTAATGTTCTATAGAAAAAGGGGAAAAAAACTGAAATTGAGAGAAAAATAAGACAAAACTGAAATTACCTGAAAAGAGGAACTTGAAGGATAATGACAAGGAAATATACACATGAAGCAATGGAAGATATGATGCTTGCCCATTTCTTTGAAGAAGCCATGGCAAGGAAGTTTTTTAATGGGTTGCCCAGAGGATCCGTACAGAGTACCAAGGGAAGGGGAAGACGCTGAGGGAATGGAGTGCACCCTGCACATTGACCTAGTGACAATTGTTTTTTGGTCGCATTAAGTTTCTCCTTTTTTTTTCTTTTTTTTTTCGATTTTCTGAAAAAACTGTCTTATGTACTCAAAAAACAAAACTGTCTTATATTTATAGTGGAATAAGACATAAAGCCCATCCTATAACACTGGTCCATATACTCAATAATTTGGGCTTTGACTCTTTTTCTTTTTTAACAAATTTAACTAAAATTTTATTTTTGGGGCTTAAAATTTCACAAATGGTTCAATTTTATGCAAATTGAGGTGATTGGGTCTAGAAAAGAGAGGTAATTTGAAGTTGGGCTTAGGGAAAGATTAGTTATGGATTTGGATATTTAGCATTGGGGTTAAATATTTTATTAAAAAAATACAGTCAGTCCAGTTTGGTTTTTCAATACAAGAATTAGAATCGAAACTTGACCAAATTGGTTTGGTCCATTTTTTGTCAACTCGATTCTATTTTTGGTTAACCCAATTTTTTCCAATTTTTTTCGACCCAATTTGGCTCAGTTTTCTGATTTTCCGATTTGAAAGCCCACTGCTACAGGCAACTAAAATGTCATGAAAATTTGAATCTGAAATCTCTGGTCTAAAAAATCAATGCTTTTTTTCAATACAATTATACACTCATATCTAACATAAACCCATGAATTAGGATTAGCATTTTCGTGCTCTTTATTGGGGCCTATTTATGTAAAAGAAACAATGATATATGTCAACTGTGTTTTCTTTTAATACAAATGATAGTCTATATTATTCTAAATTAATTTAATTTACGAGAAATGCGATTCGAACTTGGTTACAAGGGACCTAACCTACTTTGTCAATAATTTTATTTTATTATTATCAAACATAATGAATTTCATTAATTGGAAAGCATCATCAATTACAAGCAAAAGAGGATAAAAGTTTAGGTAGAGCATCCCTTCCGGAGCCACTTCTTTGCCCATCATCAGCATAGGCCCACAGAGCCAAGCTCTCCCAAGTAAGACAACCATGTGATGCAGACATGTTTGTTCACCTGGTTCGAATCCCCAGAAATTGAGAAGCCCCAAGCATGTGATCCAGATATATGTTTCTTCCAGCACCAATCGCACAAAGAAGTTCAGATCTTTCATAAACAAACAAAGGATCACTGACACTTGTGTGAAGGGACCCTGTGCAGGAAAATTCAATTAATGAAGACCGTGATTGTGGGCGTTTTTATTGATACAATATAAGAAAGTTGCACCAACCATGTGTACTTGAGTATAGCTATTAAGTGATTGCATGATTACCGCGGTAGTTACTAATTTTGATAAGCAAGTGAGATATTCCTTTTAAGTTGCACAATCAATGTCTTTTAAGATGAATTATGTTAAGCATATAGTTGCCAACGTGAGCGAATAACTGTTAATTGTTGATGTGTTATCTGATTTATATGCATCAACGATTGATAGTTATTCATGCACTTATTGATACAGTAAGAAATGTTTTCATTTGATTCGTATGTAGTCAAATAAGCCATACATGTGAATGAATCATATTGAATAACATGGAACACTTTGAGTCATGTGACAAATCTAAAAATTTTTATTTTATTTTATTTTAAAATTTTTATGGGGAGCCGAAAAAGATTAAATTACAATCATTTCATACACTAATTAACACCTATGGCTCTTGCTATGGTCCAATTAGAGCAGTTCCACCGCACCCCTAAGCCCGGGCAAGAGGGGGCCTAGGCCCTTCAAGTCGTTTTCAGCAGTACAAAACAACCTAGGTAAGACGTGGCCTCCACCAAGCCCTGGCATGCCCTTTGGCAAGAATAGTCCGAATTGTTGCTTGAGGGCTGTGACGTCAGTGATAATGTCAGCAATGAAAAAATTTAAAAAAAAGTCATAAGAAATTCTGAAAAAAAAAATACAAAAACTTTCAGAAAACTTTTTTTTTTCTTCTTAAATACGTCATATTCTTCACTTCCCACACCAAAAATCTATACAAATTCATCTCCTCATATCTCATGTGAATTGTGATTGTCCTTGGGTTGCCATGCCAATGGATGGAAAACAACAACAAAAATTGGTATGACATCCACTATTCATGTGAATAATAACAACCCTTATCTCCCCTTACCTTTTGCCACGACAAATGGATGGAAATACTCTTATATCACAAACTGTTTGAATAATGAAAGATAATTTTGATCAATTTAAAGAAGGCTACATGTTACCTTAATCAACTTAAGTTTCATATTAATTACCATAAAAATTAAATTGAAGTCAAGTTTCAAATTCCTCACTTATTTAAAATTAATTGTAGAAAACAGTCTATTCTTTGATTAAATTGGTAGATGATAGACATCACAAATTCAATCTTTATAAGGTTGGTTACTATAACAATTAAATATGTCACTTTCAGCCCAATTAAGCCAATCAAATA